ATTAGATGTGAGTCTGAGTAAGGCATGTCCTGGCTGTTCCTACATAAAACAAAAGGGCTACACTAGATGATCCCCAAACTCTAAAATTTTCTGATTTCACAAGAATATTTAATTGTATAAGAGGGGAATATGACCCAAACTAGTTTCCATTTATGACAAAAGGGGAGAGGGGAGGCAGAGCCTCCTGATGTTGGTTCATGGGGCAGTGCTTTCATTTTTGCAGACACATTGTATGTGTGTATGATAGATATAGTTTCATTCTCTTCTAGATGTGTTATTATAGCACCTTCTTTAATTTCATTTCCACCCCAACCCCTGCCTATCCAAATCTACTCATCCCTATACTTACATATTCCTTTTCTCAGTGCCTTTTGGCAGAACCCAGGTTCCCTACAGCTGCTATGATTTCTGTCGTCCAGTTGGCACTTCATTATTCTCCAAAACAATGCGGCACTGCTTTCTCTTACCTCAAATCCCAATTGAAGACCTAGATGAGGGTAATAGATCCTGGCTTGCAAATCTGATCCTGGAACCCCAGGCTCGTAGTATATGGTTGTGTATACCATGTGAATTTACCTAGAGTTGTTTCAGTACCTGCATCTGGTTATTAGTTTGAAAGAAATGGAAAATTTCCATAGGGATACCTCCTCTTTGGGAACCACTAACAATAATTGACCTTCACCTGGCACTTTAGTTAGAGTTCTCCATATATATACCTCATTTGAGACACAACAGAGGAGGGAGAGAGAATAAGTGTCTACTATGTGTCAGGCATTGGGCTACGCACTCTTACAAATATTGTCTCATTTGATCAACAATAATGAGGTAGATGTAATTCAGATGATCACAAATGAGAAATCTGAGGGTCAAAAAATTTGAGTAGGCAATATCGTAAAGCTAATCATTTTAAAGTGCTTAGCACAGTGCCTGGCACATTGTAAGCACTATATAAATGTTAGCTATCATTATCGTTATTATTAGGCTGCATTAGAAGAGAAATAGCTTCCAGGAATAAGAAAGTGATACTCCCCCTGAAATCTGCCCAGGTCAGATAATTCTTGGAGTATTGTGTTCAGTTTTGTGCATCTCAGTTTAGCAACCATGTTGATAAACCAGTGTGCAGAGAAGGACAGCTAGGATGGTGAAGGGCCTTATGTTAGTGACATGGGAGAATCACTTGAAGGAACTGGGGATGTTTAGCTTGGAGGGGAGATGACAGGGAAGGTAGCAAGGGGGGCAGTTGGACAAGATAGCTGACTTCAAATATATATATTTAAAAGGATATTGTTAGGCAAAAAGGAGTAAGCCAGAAGGCAGAATTAGGAGTGTAGCATCTAATAGAAGTTTCAGACAGATAAATATAGGTTTAATGGAAGGAAAAATTTCCCTAACAACTAGATCCATCCAAAAGGAATGGGCTACCTTGGGAAGTAGGGAAGGTAATCTTCAATCCAAGGTTGGCTAGATGATTGACTGGAATGTTGTGAAGGATTTTTTTTTCAGGTATGGATTGAACTAGTCTGATTCTGCGGTTTCTTTCAAGGTTGAGATTCTGTGATTCCCCTCCTGTTCTACCTTTTCCTTTCTCAGCACTTTTCTTTAACCCAAAATGCTCTGTGAGCATTGCAACTTCTTGGCCAAAAATATGACAATGAAAGGGCATTTGCTGTCTACTATCCTCGTTGCCCTCATTCCCAGGCCATAATCTCTGAGCCATTCATTCAACAAATTTACTGGAAATCTACTCAAAATGAATGAATGAAGTATATGCTAATACAAAATACTATATTACTAAGTACTAGGCCTATGGGGACTATAGAAATCAGTAAGTCCCAACCTTCAATTAATACAACAGTACTGGGGCAGCTAGGTGGTGCAATGGATAGAGCAGTGGCCCTGGAGTCAGGAGGACCTGAGTTCAAATGTAGCCTCAGACATATAACACTCACTAGCCATGTGACTCTAGGGAAGTCACTTAACCCCAATTGCTTCACACACACACACAAAATACAACAGCACTGAATGGGGTAAGTGCTCTAAAATCATACAAAAATATGCTATGGAACTTAGGGAAGTTATTCTTCCACCTGGAGTAAGTGATGGGAAAAAGAAAGGTGTTGTGGCTTGTTTGGAGCACTAACAGTGGGAAATAAAATCGCAGATTTGTGTCTTAGATAAGCCCAATTGTGGAGGGCTTTGAATACCAGACTAACAAATTTAGGGCTTTTCCCCCCTCTTGTAGATAATGGGGGACCATTAAGTGTTTCTGAGCAAAGGAGTGCTACTTTAGCGAAATTAATCCTGTAGGATGTGCTTGCATAGATTGGTGTTTTGTCTAAAGGCACAAAGCTAGTTAGCGGCTGATTTATAAATTGTTGAGAAGTGGAAAGGACCTTTAAGACAGAGGTAGGAAAAAGAAACGTGAGCAGTCCAGCTTGCACACCAAAGAGTTCATGCAAAGAAATAATAGAACATGAGGTTGTAAAGCTGCATATCTAGTTCAGGCCCATCATTTTACAGCTGTGGAAACCGAGGCTCAGAGAGAGGAAGTGATTTGCTCAAGGTCATGCAACTTGTGACAGAGATCAGAACTGACCCCCATGGCACCCTTAATCCTAATTTCAGGGTTCTTTCCATCACATAATTAGACCCAGCTCTCCTTGTTCTCCCTCCCCGTGCTTTTCACACTATGCTAAAGTGATGTATATAACATTCCTTGCCCTTGAAGAACTCTCAGTCTGGTTTAGAAGGCAAGATCTAGGGAGTAAGACTGGAGTCATCTCTGTAGAGCTGAATACTCCCGATACAATCCTCCAGAAATTATGAGGCTGCATACTAGGCTGGGAGCTAGGGTCTAATGAGGTAATTTTACCCAGTCAGTCATGTGTTTATAATGACAAGGGAATCCTCCTGGGTTGTCTCCCCATATGTTAAATGGAAACAGTGCTACTTACAGGTTTGCCCTATTGGAGTCACTCCTAGGAGATTGTCTGTCTGTCCATCAATCAGGGGTGGTGGTCCCAAGCAAGGTGTTTTCTTCCTCACAGTCCTCTTCCAGCCAAAAACAGATTAATAATTCCATAGCTTGTTGGACCACCAACTCTGATGAAAGGAGCCAAAGTAGAACTATCTGTCCACCTCACAGCCCTCTAGGCTGTGTTTGGTTGGGCTTGTAGGTTTAACCGCTCAGATTAGATTAGATTTGATCGGATTAAAACCCAGGCCCATTTGCTTCTGGCTTGGCAGCTGCCAACCTTTTCCTAGCTGAGCCCAGGGCCCCATTTGGGAGGGTGTAGTAGGGCAACCTAGGATCTCCCTGGAAATAAACATGCTTTTCCAGGCTCCTCTCCCCGACCCCCAAGAAGCTCCTCTTCTCTGTACATTGGGAATTGAGAAGAGGGGAGGAAGAGGGGAAAGTACCGAGTGTGGAGTGGGGGAAGGGAAGATAGCACAACATCTCTATGGGAAGATAGGTCTCTTGTCTTACTGGGACTTTGAAACTCTTTCTAGGAGAGCAAGGATGTGCTCTCATCGTTGTACAGTTGACCAAGGCCACTGAGGTTGCTTCTAACTCAAATTCTGAGGTTCTATGAAAGACTTCCCAGTATGCAAATAGTATGTCTCTGCAGGAATGCTCAGGTTATTATCTGTGCTTCCGTGAGTCTGCGTGGTGTCTGTGTCTGTGTGTGCATGTGTGCCCCTATCCCAATGTCTGCATTCTTATGTTCCCACATGGTCTAAGGTCAAAGTCTCTTTTGCAGCTTGTGGGTGCCTTTTTAAACATTCTCTCCACCACCCCAGATTCCTGAGCCTACAGGACCTTTGTACACAAACTGAAGGCTGTCATCGTGGCTTTGAGCTCACATGCCCTCCCCCTACCCGTATGCCCTACAGATCTGTATCTGGTACTCGGCACACTCAGGCGCAAGGGGATGTGTCCAAGGCTTGTGTGTGCCCAGCTGCCCTCAGTCCTCATGGCTCTGTTTTTTGCATTGCCTTCCTCTATGTGTCCGCATCCTGTCCTTCCACGGGTGTGGGGAGGAGGGGTCATTGCGTCCCCTAGGTGTGTATGTGTGGGTGTTATTCCGTCCTACTTGGAAGGAGTGATTACGTCCCCTCAGCCCGTGCACGTTGAGGGTCGCGATGGTGGTCATACCAGCCCCTCGAGGGCGCGTTGGGCTCTGGGGAGAGAAGGCGGGAAAACATCTCCCCAGGCATCAGCACCCCGCCCTGCATAGTCGGTTGGCCAGTCGCTTGAATGGAAGGCGGGGGCGGTACGAGGGGAGGCAATCAATGCTTGCCAGTCTGGTCCCTGCAGGGGCGGAGGCTGTGGGTCCGGTCATTGCTGGGTCTCCCCTGTCCTGTGTAATGTCAGTTATTCTGTCCCCTTCTCTAGGGCGCAGGAGAGACGGAGAAGGCGTGTTCTCCCCGGGACTGTTCCGTCTGTCTCCTCTCCCGGGGACAGGGCTGTAGGTCAGTCAGTCAGGAAGGGGTGCGGCTGAGGGGCCGAGGCACCCCCTTAGTCCCCCTCCTCTGCGGGCGGAGATACTGGGGGGGGGAGGAAAGGAGGAGGCCCCCGGAGCCAGGCGTCAGCATTACGTGCGGAGGAGCCGCGGCTGGTGCAGTCGGGAGGGAGGCGGCACCGAAGCCGGGGCTCTACAGCCCGCCGGGGCGCTGGAGGGGCGGTGCTGAGTGCCGGCAGCTGCGGTTGGGAGGGATACCCAGGAGGAGGGAGGTGCGGGTGACTGAGAGGGGAGGCAGAGGGAGAGCGGGAGCGGGAGCCTGGCTGAGGCTCGGGAAGAGGACGGAGCCTCCGGCGCCGGGCCGGGGAGAGCGCTGGGGCGGGATGCGGCTCTCGCTGCCCTTTGCGAGCTGAAGCGGGAGCGGCCGTCTTGGGGAGGCGGCGGCGGCACCGGCGGGAAGCGGCAGCCCGAGGAGGAGGACAGCGGCGGGAGCGGAGCTGAGCCTGGTCAAGCCGGAGCTGGACGGGCAGCGGCGGGATGGGCCGAGCCGGGCGCGCGGGGGTCGGGGGGCCGGTCCGCCGGCGGAGGCTGCTGCTGCTGCTCCTGGGGGCCGTGCTGATCCTAGCCGCCCGCCTCGCCGGGGCCGCACCGGGTAGGTGCAGAACGCGACCCTCCTCCCTACACAGCCGGAGTGGGGGTGGGGGGAGGGAGTCACGGGCCTTGGTCCCCTGGTCTAGCTGGGCCCCTACCAGGCAGACACCGCCAGACCCCCGGACCCGAGACGGAAGGAAAGGGAGCGTCCTCTTCTACCCCAAAACGAGACGGGGGGTTGGGGGGCTTGGCGCGGGGATATGCGGGGCGGGGGTGAAGCTTTGGAAACCTCGCACGTGTCCAAATCCCCACACCCCACCCTCCCGGAGATTGGGTGAAGGGAGGCTCCCGTAAGGGAAAGGGGTTCACAGGGGTTGTGCGCCCCCGCCCCCCCCGATCTTTCTGGCCGTTCTGCACCCGAGCGATGTCACCAATTCCCCACTTCCTTGCCCTCCCCTCTCCGTCAGTGACATTTTTCACCCTAACGGCAGGGTGGGAGGGGGTGCGAGGTGAGACGGGGCGGAGCCACGACTGGGAGAGGACTAAGCTGAGGGGTGGGCCCTGGAGCACGGCCAGCTGCAGGTGGCCGGGGCGCGCGGGCTGGGGACCAGGGGAGGGGGCTGGAGGCTGACCGCCGGAGGCCGGGCGCCGCCCTAACGCCCTCGCTCTTTTCCTCCTTTTTCCTGCTGTCCCGCCGCAGCCTCAGAGCCCAGCACTGGGCGATGCCCCACTGGCCGTCGGGGAGCGGGGAGGGCCAGAGACCCAGAAGAGCCGCCGAGAGCGGGCGCTTCGGGCCAACGACACGCGCCAGGAGGAAGGCGCAGGGGAGGACGAGGAGGCGGCCCTATCTGAGGGGCGTGCGGGACGGGGTGAAGATGAGGCTGGCCCATGTTGGGACTGCCCCCCAGGGACCACTGTGAGGGTCGGAGCCCTGTCCGAAGAGGCCCTGCTGGAGGCTTCCGCAGCAGTGACCGGAGCAGCCTGGCCTGAGGCCATGACTCTGGACCTGGCCCCCGAGAACCGAGAGGAGGCTGGCAGTGGAGACCCCCAGGCCAGTCGGGCCACCCTCCCTGGCCTTGAGGAGGAGCTCAGACAGACAGAAGTACCACCCTCTGGGGAAAGTTGGGGTCCAGCTTCAGAGCCCGTGGGGGCAAAGGGGCCTCCTTCTCCTACCCTAGGGGGTCACCTCAGCCTTACCCTGCCAGATTCTGGCCCCAAACTTCCTGACGTGGCCCACAAGGAGAACCCCTTGGACTTGTGGCTGAGCCTGGGCAGTAGCCTGCCCGACCCTCATGTGCCAGCTACTGCCTCTCCACCTCTGGGTACTCCAGAGCCTCAGCCTTCCTCAGAGATCATCGACATCGACTACTATGATGGCTTAGACTCTGACAGCCGAGGTGCTGATTTGGGGAGCTTCCCAGAGTCCCCTGACACTTCCCATCAACATATTCACCCAGGTGAAGATGCACCATCCTGGAGCCTGACTGACATGTATGATGACTTCACCCCCTTTGATGAGTCTGATTTCTACCCCACCACCTCCTTTTATGAGTTGGAAGAAGAAGAGGATGATGAAGAGGAAGAAGCAGCTGTTCAGGACCTAGAAGATGAAAATGACCAACGACTACCTGGCCTGACACCTAGCACAGGTCCAGGCATTTCCCAGCCCACCAGTCGTTGGCATGCAGTACCTCCACAGCAGACTCTGGGGGTGAACCCAGACAACAGTATCACCTTCAGGCCTCGTCCAGGAGAAGTAGTCAAAGAACTGACACCAAGTGAGAATGGCACAGTGTGCCGGAGTGGCTTTGTTAGGCACAATGGCTCCTGCCGGTCAGTGTGTGATCTCTTCCCGAGCTATTGCCACAATGGAGGCCAATGCTACCTGGTGGAGAATTTAGGGGCCTTTTGCAGGTAAGGGTGGGGCAGAGGGATGAACACAGTCCAAAAAAAAAATCTATTCTTGGGAATATTGTCATAACCTATTTCTAGGAAAGGTGCAATCTTCAGGAAACTAGACAGACAACTTTTGCAAACAACCTAGATTACCAAAGGTTAGAACTATAGAACCCTAACCAATCCACAACAATGCCTATTGCAGGATTTCCACTTAGAGTTTCTACTCTATGATTTATCACTTGAAAAAGATTTACCAAGAATAAAACTTATGCTTGCTTCCCATTTCTTCAGATTAGAAAATGGGGTCCTGCTATCCAGATTTTTTGGAAGCAGCTTTCCTGGTCAGATCTGCATACTGCAGATGGAAATGATGGATTTCCTCTAAGGACAAAGAAAGGGTTTTGGATGAGATCCTTGAAGGGCTAAGAAATCTATGAAGGAAAATTCCAGCTTCAAGAGCTAAAAGAGGATTGGTACTCAAGATAGGAATAAAAGAGACAGGGCACGTTGGAATAGAGGAGGAGAGGAGGATGCTGGCCCTTCCATTTTTAGTTTAATTCTTATACTAAGTATCAAAGGAACAAAACTAATTTTAATGGAAGCACGGAGGGGTGGAGGATAGATCTCCCTTTAAAAAAAAAAGGATAAATTTCTCATTGAAAGGTTCCTGTCCCCCAAATCCCTGGTTCAAAAGTGCCAAGAGCTCAGTTTCATTAACCTTCTTCCCCTTTTCCTTCTCTCTGGCTCCTTGTCTTTTCCAGGGATCACTCTTGACTAGAGATTGTCAAGTAAATCCATAAACCACTGTGAATTTAGTGGCCTATTGACACCGTCCCTTTGCCAAACCTACCATTTCCTTCCTTCTGACCACTGTGGGTTATATGATAAGCACTAGGCTTGTTACATTGTGAGATATGGAATTGTCTTTCTCTGTGGTAATATGGAAGGCAGGACTGTGGACAGAAAAGGCTAATCTTTGGAGAAAGTTCAGAGACGAAGATCCCTTTGGTAATGGACTCAAAGATTAGCCCTTCAACTGGGTAAAAATTAGCAAGTTGAGACATGAATTCTTTTTTGGAGTCCCCTAGTCCCTTGCTATGTCCAACATTGCCAAAAATGTAAACTAGCCTGTTAGCTTCATGCTCAAGACTCTACCTTTTTCTTCTACCCTAGATCCTGCCTACTTTGATACTCAGTTCATACTATAAAGGAACTGAGAAGTTTAATAACTTTGAAAACATTATTGTAGAACATCTAGAATAGATAAGCTGCTATCCAATCCCTTGTCAGAACTTAGTGATTATTCACTACCAGTATTGGGTAGTATCTTGATGTTTGAACTGATAATGGGGTAACAGGAAGGGACACAGACAAGAATGATGAGGACTAGAAAAGTTTGTCTTCAGCTTTCACAGAACCCAAGGGGATATATAACTTGTGGTTGGATAGTTGGGGAGAGCATTCCCTTTAGTCCCAGCAACAGAATTTCTACCATTTTCTTGGGTGAACAATTTCTTCATCTTGGGTAACTCAGCTTCAGGTTTTGTTCCTGATGTTTCTTTCACTTAACTCTTGAAGGGGAAATGAAGATGTCAAACTACTTAAATCCTAAAAAGAAAGATAATCTATGAAAAGGAAGATACATATTCCCTCTCCTCATTAGAGGAGTAAAGAACAGTGAGTATAAAGTGTTGGAGATTCTTCCTGGGAAAGAAAAAAAAGAAAGATAGTCTATCTAAGCTTAAAGATGGTGAGTTTTGTTGATCTGGGACTAAAGCTTGTGTTTGCTTCTGAAAATGGTTTGAATCATTTGGGACCGCAGAGTCAGTTGTAGAGTATCCTATAGGTTGTATATACTGATTCTCTGGTTGCTCCACAATGAGCCATTCAAAGGCAGTCAAAAGAGAAAACAAAGAGTCTCATCTAATGATTTTCTAACAGGAAACTGTGGCTACTCTCAATGCTATCCATCACCTGGTTGGTGTCCTAGGCTTCTGTTTCTAGAAGCTTAGTTTGAGGTGAAGGAACTACAGAAGAAATACTAGCCTGTGCACCATAGCAGTCCATGATGTAATATCCTCAGCACCCAATCAAGGGAATCTGAGTTTCCACCCTTAAAGAGTGGAAATAAAAATATGAAATTAAGATCCTTTGTTACTTCTTGGAGATTGTAAAGGCTCATAGAGCCTTCTTAAAGTCACAGACCCTCCCCAAATGGGAATGTAAGATGTTGAACTACTGAGCTTTGGATCTACTCACACAAACTCTAGCAGTGGACATGTACTAATCTCAGGAGAAGCTTCCCACAATTTCATCCCTGTTGCCCTTTTCCCATTTTTCATCCAAGTTGTACTCACACGTTCCCCTACTAAAGAACCTGATTCTGGTAGCGTATGTCCATCGGCATTGGCTAGAAAGCTCTTGTGCATTCCAAGGCACATATGACTGAACCCCCAGTTGCTGTCTGCAGCAGTTTCTGTCTCTGTTGCCCTCTTTTTTCTGGGATATAATCAGAGCATTGAAGGTTAATTTCTCTGTAATAGAAGGACAAGGACCCTCTGGTAAGAGTGAGCTGAGTTCTATAGGGTCTTCAAAACAGTGAAAGTCATCTAGTGTCTTTGATAATGCAGTTTGGAAGGAAATCCCTTGGGTTCCAAGCAATACCCTTAAAACTGGGAGTAGCAAATTCCTTCTTGCAAAATCCCCTTTCTAGTGCCCCATTCCCTTGTCATTCAGTGGGGCTCATGTCCTCCTTCCATTGCCTTTTCCCATCTCCTTCTACATCTTTCCCCTTTGAGGCAGCCTGGTTCCCATGGAAACAGCAATGTCATTGGAAGAACAGGAGCCTGGAAATGTCCTCAAGGGCAAGAGAAAGTCACCCGACAGAGGGCCTAGGACAGTGCTTAGAAAGCTACTGTAAAAGATTTTGTGTAATAGTTCAAATAGTAATAGGAAGAGGACTTGAAGGGTCATGTTATAGGGGCCAAGGCAGTGGGGTGGGACTATCTATCTATCTTTCTGTGTATGTATCATTCTGTCTTTTTATTCCCCCGTGTATATCAGCATCTAGCAAGTCACATGTGCAGGGTGTAGCTATAAAGTAAAGAGACTGGTTCCCCAAGTCAGACACAAAAATCTGTGTCATTTCTTTAAAGCCATTCATAATGTTTGCCTCTTCTTCAGCCCTTTTTCATCTGGGGTTCTCTGCATCAGGGATAGTGCCCAGGAAAATTCCTGTGACTGCCTTTCTCAAGAGGCAGGTTGATGTAGTGAGAAAAGCAATGGACTAGGAACCAGAAGCCTGGGTTCTGCAACTCAGTAGGCATGTGAGCTTGGGCAAGTCCCTCAACTTATCACTCACAGCCTTGGCTTTCTTCTTTGGAAAATGAAAGTAATAATATCTACCCAATCTTCTTTGTAGTTATGATTCCCAGATGATACAATTTGGGTGAAAGCACATAACAGATTATGTAAAGTGCTATATAAATGCATAAAGTTTTGCATTACTAGACCTCTAAGCCACAGCTTTTAACCTTTTTTGTGTTGTGGACCCCTCTGGCAGTCTTACGAAGCCTACCAACCCTTCTCAGGTCATGTTTTTAAATAAACTGAAGGACATGCTAAGTTCCAGTTAGAGGTTAGTGGAAAATATAGATGTCATTTTTTTTCTGATCCAAGTTCCCAGACCTCCTGAAACCTATTTGCAGACCCTCTGCTTAGGCAGTTTATAGGACTGTGCCAGTTTTGGAAAAGCCATTGGAATTTAGGGGGTTGGTTACGTCCCACGTCCAGGGAGGCTTCTCCAGGCCAGGAGCGGTGTGACTCATTCCCGTCCCCATCCCACTGCTCCTTCCCACAGGTGTAACACACAGGACTACATCTGGCACAAGGGGATGCGATGTGAGTCAATCATCACTGATTTCCAGGTGATGTGTGTAGCCGTAGGAACAGCTGCCCTCGTGTTGCTCCTCCTCTTCATGATGACTGTTTTCTTCGCCAAGAAACTCTATCTGCTTAAGACAGAAAACAGCAAACTGCGCAAGACCAAGTGAGTCTTTCTTCCATCTCTCCCTCCATAGTGGTATTCCCTCAGTCCCTCAGCAAATACCCCACGTCCATGCCGAATAAATGTGGTGGAGTGGAAATTGTTCTGGACTTGGGGCCAGGGTTTGAATCCTGCCTCATATTCCTACCAGCTGTCGTGCCCAAGAGCAAGTCATCTCACCTCTTGGCCTCAGTTTCCAAAGCTCCAAAATGGGGTTAATAATATTTGTAGTACCTATTCTTGTGAGGAGAGCTTTTGTAAGCCACGAGGTACTATGTAAGCTGGGATGATGTGACTTGTTCTCCAGGCAAGTTCACTTCCACTCATGGTTTTTGAGTTACCCAAGTACAGGAAGAGTTAACTGCTTAGGATAAGGGTAGGGAACCTGTGGCCTCCAGGCCATTTAACAAATCCTTAATAAAAGGATTTGTTCTGTGAAGTTTGGATTCAGTCAAAGGGCCACACTTGAGGACCTAGAGGTTACCCACCCCTGGCCTAGGATTTTGTATGACAATCCAAACAGGAGCAAGAAGACATCTTTAAGGGTCATGTTCTGGGGGTGCGTGCACTGTGATCTAGCACTTTGCTCCAAAGCCTCCATCTCCAGAGCACTCAGTTTTTGCTATGCATTCTCTAGGTGTCTATCTCTTGGGAGGGCGGGGTGTGTTTATGTCATAGATTGTCTGCAGTGCTGGTTTGTCTGCATATGGACTGTCCAGGTACTGCAGCAGTGGCATATTCCCTGGTGGGAAGGATGCCGCTCCTCGCCAGCAACACCCTTCCTTTAGCCTAAAGTGAGATAGCTGAGGCAAAATATCAGTCATGGGTTTCAGATTAAGATCTGGCAGCCCCTAATTCCCGGTATGGGTGCCAGAGATTGCAGACCAGTTGCTAGAGCCATCCCTCTCCCTTCTCCTTCCCCATTCATTCCTTTGGACATTAAGAGCTGCTACCAGCTGCATATGCTTACTGAATGTAAGGCAGCACAGGGGAGCCAGAGATCAGAGCCATATTCCCCAGAGCCGTGATTCTTATGCCAAAAAGAGAGGTCAAAACCTCAACACATTCCTTTAAAAGACCTGTCACCAATCTGGATATCTTTTGTGCCTGCCCATAGATACTTGTCCGTACTGTTACATGCATGTTTCCCTTTGTGTGTGTACCCTACTATACACTACTATACACTTGCAGATTTTCACTGCAAAAAAAATTAAACTTTGAGGGCAAGATAGAATGAGCTTAGATTTAGCCAAGTTTCCCCATGTTCTAGGCTGAAATTTATCCTAACACTACCAGCCACCCCATTCCATTCAACCTGTAGCACCATCTTGTGCCCTTCCTTGACCCAGGATCCCAAGAAATGTGACTGAAGGACTTTTCCCTCAGCTCACCCTGGGGAAAGGACAAAACGCCATCTGCTAGGTCATCCTTTGCAAAGTGCAGCTGCTGGCAGCTCTGTGTAGTTATGAAGCTGGCCAAAGGAGGGCTAGAGGGGCCCCTTTATTATGCCTGTGCATTGAGGCAAGGCCCTTCTCTGTATTTGTGATCACTGTGGAAGGACACAGGCCTGTTTCTCTGGCTGCTTCATTGACCGCTCCTCCCTCCCCCACCACATACATACCACCGGGGACGGGAGAGTAGTGATGTCCTATTCCCAAGCTGCTGCTTAGTGGGAGGAGGAAGGAGGAGAGAATTCTAAAGGCCATCCTCACTGACCATTTGGAGACAGCAGAAGTAGGATGGTAGCCTTAAAAAGGGGCAGGGGAGAAAATGAAGAGATGGAGTCTTAGAAAAGATTCCTTTTAAGAATAGAGGGCACCAAAACCAAGAAGGTATCTTAGTTTTTGTCTTTGCTCTGGGTGCTTTCTCCAGCATACTCAGTTCAAACACACTCAGTGGATTCTCTCTGTACCCTAACTTTGCTGATGTCTCCTCCTGTTGCATCGCCTTTCTATCCAGCTCTTTCCTCTAGCTCTCCTAATATGCTGTGTGTACAGTGGACTTAGGGATATTATTTAGGAGGTCTAGAACTGGTCCATGATGTTGAATGGATGTTGTGTCAGACAGAACTTTAATACCTGTGACATTCCCTAATGTTCTTTCTCTTTAATTCTGTCCTGGTCAGCAGATTCCGGACACCATCTGAACTCCACAATGATAACTTCTCCCTCTCCACCATTGCCGAGGGATCTCACCCAAATGTAAGGAAACTTTGCAACACTCCCCGTACCTCCTCCCCCCATGCCCGTGCCTTGGCTTACTATGATAACGTTATCTGTCAGGTAACTTGTCTTCTTCTCATTTCCTCTTCTGCATGCACCAGCCCCTCGCCTGTGCTCTTGGGCTACTTCAGAGTGTCATTTAGAGGCACTTTTCAGAACCAAGGAGAGCAGCTCAGAAGGTGGGGGTGGGAGTAGGCGGATACTAAAGGATACTAAAGGCAGGAGCATAGAGTTGTGGCTGCTCATTACAACCCGAAAGACAGTAGAACTGGAGTACAAGATACAGAGCTCTTGGTCCCAAGGATTCCATCTTTGTTGATTTATAGCTTCATCTAGGGCTTGTAGAAAATCCAGTTATTTCCTTTTTGCTTTTCACATCATCAGAGAGAGAGGTTTTGCTTTAATTACCATGGAGAAGTCTGATCGATGAAGTAGTCTGGTTAACACTTCCAGGAATGTGAGAAACAGAGCACCCAACTTTTAGGCATGGTTTGAGAAGAATCAGGTTTGGCTGGCATGCTGTACACAACTGTTGAGGGCCCAATGTTATTGAAAGATACCTGTGAACCAAAGGGGAAAATCACAAGAAAGAAAAAAAAAAGATATCTGAGCAGCTACCAGTCTGGTGACAGGCCTATAGTGAAAAATGGTGATGAGCTGAGGGAAAAATCAATCCAAATATTACTTGTAGGGTGGTGATTTGTAAATTACCAGTTGAGACCCAGAAGAAACATTCAAGACCTTCTGTAGATTGTTCTATGAACATGGTTCAATCTAATAAACTTTCCTTAAGCACCTACTGTGTGCAGAGCCCTGTGCTAAGAATTGACAGGAGTGCAGATACAAAATTTACATTAAACATGGTCCCAACTTCCCTGGAGCCTACAGTGTAAGGTTAACTCAGTGTGCTGTAGAAGCCAGGAATGTGATGGGCATCATCAGGATGGAAAGAAAGAAATAAAGAAGGAAAGAAGAGAGGGAAAGAAGGAAGGAAGGAAGGAAGGAAAGAAAGAAAGAAAGAAAGAAAGAAAGAAAGAAAGAAAGAAAGAAAGAAAGAAAGAAAGAAAGAAAGAAAGAAAGAAAGAAAGAAAGAAAGAAGGGAGAGAGAAAGAAAGAGGGCAGGAGGAAGGAAGGGAAAGAAAAAGGAAGAAAGAGGAAAGGAGAGAGAGAGAGAGAAAGAGAAAGAAAAAAGGAAAAAAGAGAAGGAAAAGGAAAGGGGGAGAGAGGGAAGAAAGAAGAAAAGAAAGGAAGAGAGAAAGAGAAAGGAAGAAAAGAAGAAAAAGGAAAGAAGAGAAGAAAGGGAGGGAGAGAGGAAGGAAAGAAATAGTATCTTACCCTTTTTCATATGGGAACAAACTTCAAAAAAATAGAACTTTTCAGATTAAAAAGGTAGAGGCTGAGAGGAGATATGATTAAAATCTATAGAATGATGAAGAACCTAAATCAAATTACAAAATATTGGAGCCAGACAGGATTTTCCTTAGAGGTTATCTAGTCCAATCCTTTCATTTTACAGATAAGGAAACTGAGGGAAAGTGATTTCCCTAAAGAAGTGATAAGCATACACTGGCATTATTCTTGAACCTCAAAGAGATAATTCCACAGAATCACGATATTTGTGAGTTGGGAGGGACTTGAGCATTCATCTTGTCCAACCCGTACCTAAAAGGAATCCTCCCTAAAATATACCCAACAGACCCATCTAGCCTCTACTTGAAGACTCCAAGAAGAGGCAACTCATTCCCTCTTGAAACAACCCACTCCACTTTTAGACAGCTCTATTTGTTACCAAGTTTTTCCTGAGATCAGACCCAAATTTGCACTTTTACAGCTTCTACTCAGCTCTTGCTTCTGCCCCCTAGAGCCAAACAGAACGAATCTGATGCTTCCTTCATGTGACAACTCTTCACCCCGGGGTCTTCTCTCCTCCCAACTAAACATCCCCAGTCTTTCTGTGACATGGACCCAAGGCCCTTCACTGTCCTGATTGCCCTTCTCTGTATACTCACCAGCTTATCAATATCCTTCCTAACGTCTGATTCACTGAAATGAACACAGTACTCTAGATGAGATCTGACAAGGGCAGAGTATGGTGGAACTATGGCCCTTCATTCCTGGAAGCTAGGCCTCTAGTAATGCAGCACAAGATCAGATTAGGTTTTCTGGCTGCCATGTCCCACTGTTGATTCATATTGCATTTGCAGTCCACTAGGATCCACAGATCTTTGTCAGATTTTGTATAATGTGGTAGTCCACAAATAAAAAGAATTGTTTACTTATATTTCAGATACTAAACATCAGAAATTTGTGGCTAAAAATGTCCATAGGTTAAGAAAGTGTTTAGATAAATCCATTGGTAATCGCTCTGTACTTGATCATTAAAGAAAATTAAGGATATTTGGGGACATCTCTAACCTTTGAGTTTGCTGTAGGCTTCTCCAAACTATCCCTTTGTGGCACTGTTAGACAGATGGTCCTACCCTAGCTGGACGATGATCCTAGACCAGAATGACAGTTCTTGTGGGCAGAAGATGAATTTTCACAAATATTATTTGTATGCTGACAAAGAGAGCATGCAAAGAGAGGGATCTTTTGAACCTTTCTAAATCACACATTTCCAGTTAAGTATTTATACCCTAGGTGAGACCACCTTTTGCTTGTTGGAGAAAGAAAAGGTAATTTCCTACCTGTTGAACATTTTGTACTATGAGCTATCATTGTGGGGCAAAAGTTTTATGTTTCCCTCTGACATTATGTGATCCTACTTTGTTAAAAGAAATCCATAGAAAGCAAATTATTTTATGCTAAATTCACAACACACTCAGCTTTGTAAAGAAAACCCTTGGGAGGGAAGAGTTTCTAACACAGAACCCCCAGATTTTTACTACAGAGGGTTAAATTCTCATTCCTCCTCCTACCAGCTTTTATCATCAGAACCCCATGGAAATTTTAGTTTCTTCTTGGTGCTTTAGACTGGGTGTTGTGAAATACTTCCTTAATTGAAGATTAAGGTTGTTTACCAAATAGTAATCATCTTCAGGTAATCGTTTTTGACCCTGACTCAAAAGTTTTGTTTTTGTTTCGACTCATCTCTGTGTCTGGACTAATAATCAGGGCATACAAACTTCTTAGAAAATTGTACACACCCCCCCAAAAAAAAGCACACAATCCTTAGACACACAAAAGACTGGTTATTCTATAGATTCCCTAGAACTGAAAGGGACCCAAGAAGGGACCATCTAGCTTAAGCCTTTCATTTTACAGATGAAGATATGGAGGCCCAGTGAGGTTAGCTGATTTGTTCAACATGGTACAAGTAAATAGTGGATCTGGGATTAAAATTCAGATCTTCTAGTCCAATGTTCTTCCCAATTCAATTACAATCAACAGGCATTTATTAAGCACCTACTATGTGTAAGCCATCACACTAGACTCTTGGACTTACACAGTCAAACTTTGAGGTCCAGTGCATTACTTAATGGGTCAATTTCCTCTCCAGGTACATTGTCCTTTAAAAGGCACACTCTGAAACAGCTTCTGACAAAAAAAAAAAATCTGCTGCTTTGAAGACTAATGTGGGGGGAGGTGGGAAGGGCATATTGCTAGCCTATGTGCAAATAACACTTCCCCTCCCCGTCCTCTGTTACTCACCTCACCTTGTGCTAACACTCACATTGGCCCTGTTGGACCAATGTGAGGTAACCGTAGCTGGTGGGCCATCGTATGTAAGTCTGTGTGTAAGTCTCTTGTGTAGCTAAGCAGCAAACCTGGAAGGGATTATCAGGAGAAGAGGGAAGGGTCCATTGTTCAGCAGCAACCTTCCTCCCCCAACCTGCTGAGGTTTGTGGGTTATCCAAGTGGAATGGTGAGTATTTTGGAAAATGGCTACCGTAAAGGCAATAGCAGTTCTCCTATATATACGACACAAATGAAGGTCACCTGTCATCTATATGCAGTCCTTCTGAATGCCATGCATCATCCCAGCATCAGAGCTACAAAGGAGAAAGTTCTAGATGGCACCCAGGACCTTCATATGTGGGGGGTATTTTTACAGGACATTCAACACCCTGATTCCTCAAAGAGAAAAATCTGTCCCTTAGCTACCTCCAATTTTACTTCACTCTCTTTCTTTGTGGGTTTTTTTTCACTTGCCAGACATAATTTTTCCCATGTGCCTGATGAAATGCTGGATTCTAGGAGCAAATGAATGAATGCTACAACTCTTAGAGTTGTGGGTCTGGATCAGAAAAGATCCCAAGATGTAGTCTGGTCCCAATAATCTCTAAGCTACAGGGTGCTGATATGGTTGGAATAGGTCTTAGGTATATATAGCAGGGGGAAATTACTTAATCCTTTCCCCCCCCCCCAAAATATGCAGCCTTTGCTCTTACTGTACGACAGAGCAGCCCCTTGGGATGTGGCTGTAAAGAATCCTATTATTTGACTATTCAACCAACTAGTCTTCTGGGATCACCTCCTGGGAGAAAGTTTAAGCTGAATGTTCTACATGTAGACTCTCATGATTGAGGACCTTCAATCAATCAACAGTTATTTATTTATTAAGCACCCACTACATGCCCTGTACTTTGCTAGGCACTGGGAATAGAAATGCAAAGAATGAAAAAATCCCTACTTAGAAAGTGCTTAGGACATTCTAATGACTCGAGGTTGAAACTACCATGAGGTTAGGCTAGTACTGATATAAAACAACTTCTGCTGTTGCTTTTTGGACAGAAATGTTGAGTGGCAGCTTACTAACTGTTCATTTCTTAGAATGTGCTTCCCCTTCCACTTGGCCCAAATTTAGGACACTTTTCTGATCTGAGTTCCCACAAGGCTCAAGGGGGCTAAGTTTAGCTTGGCTCACATGCCGTGGCTTCATCAATCCAAATGTCTTTGTATTACGACTATATACCTGTGGCTTTAGTATGTCCCAAAGAATGGAAGGAGGCATCAAACGCAACCCCTGGAAGGTAGAAAAGAGGGAACCTTGCTGCGAGGCCATCAAAGACCAAAGCACTTTTGCTATGGTTGGAAACCAGTTTTATTAAAGGCTTAAAATAAGAATTGTGCACTAGTTCAGTCTCCTGGTGTACTTCCCCCAATGACCCTGAAAAAGAAAGTTTCCAAAACTCTCTATGAAAAAGCAAATGGAAATGCCACAGCTATTCTGTGCCTCAGTCAGCTGTCTTGTTCATTAATATCTGTAGTCCATGTCGTCTTCATCACTGCAGTGGATGCAGGGGAACACACTCCTCACATGTTTGAAGAGCTCGGTTAAATCTCTTCACTTCTGTTTAATTATATTTGTCCCCAGATGAAATAATCCTACTCCATTTACAATTTTTACTTAGTACCTATTTTTTAACCCTTCAACTGTTTTCATTGCATTTCCTGGACCTTTCTACAAGTTCATCACATCTCTCAAACCAAGGGACTCCAGGCTAGATATTACACTCTGGTATGAGCCTGGCTCATGTTAAGTATCAGGCAGGTTATTCGCATGTGCTTTCTTCATATTTAGACATCTCTGTATCTGGCACAGCATGAAAGTTTGGGAAGATTTATCCTCTAGTAGTGAGGCCCGAAGGCATGAAAAGTGAAACCAGGTCACAGGGTCAAGGAGTGAATTGGTCAAGTTGAAACTTGAATCAATGGGCCCATATAAAATACTAGAATGGGGCAGCTAGGTGGCACAGTGGATAGAGCACTGGTCCTGGAGTCAAGAGGACCTGAGGTCAAATGTGGCCTCAGACACTTGACATTTACTAGCTGTGTGACCCTGAGCAAGTCACTTAACCCTATTACCTCAGCAAAACAAAACAAAAAAATAAAATAAAATACTAGAAACACATCTTGGATCAATGTCAACAAATAATCTCAGAGTAGGTGATATTATAAGACATTCAGAAAAGTGATACTGGATTTAACCTGACTCCTGTCTGCGTAGAACCCAACAACCTAAAAAACATTAAATCCTGTGGTTTCTTGCTTTACAGTGATGATAGGGAAGCACACTTGGTAAACAGCTGGAATGTGACAAGAGAGAAATCCATAGCATCCCTGTTTTCAGCTTCCTGGACCAACGGAAGACTTCCCAAATTTCACTCAACCACATTGATCGATAACAGAACAGGGTGCAGCAGCTCTCCCAAACTTTTTACAGGGCATGCATTCTTATCTCCTTAGCAACTAGTGTTGGTGCAGATGCTTGGGTTGAGAAAGCATTTAAAGTTAAAATGTTTATTAAAGTAATAGTAGCTTAAAGAGGGTGGGAGGGGGGTTGGTAACCTCAGGTAGTTGCTACCTGCCACCATATGCTCAGGTTGTTATGTGACCTCTTATCAATAGAGTTTATAGTGATTTTGAGAACCATCCTGGCCATTTAGAAAAATAATCACAATTTAGTGAGTTTGTGTGATTATTGCCTCCAAAAATGGTCCTGAAGTGGGTAAAGACAGGTGAGAGAGAGAATTGTGAAAGAAAGAGAATGAAGAACACCGACGCTTCAGTGATATAGAATATAATATATCAATCTTGATCATGAAAGCACATAAATTGTGTTAAAAGTCATGTGTAAGAGGTAGGGGGCCTTCAGGGATGTCATAACTACAAAGACAATTGTCCTGTTTTGAAGGCTGTAACATCTGTGGTGGGAATGTGGTACCCATCCAGAATAAGGGGGGAATATGAACCTGACTAGCACAGATCACCAGGTACCATTCAGGCAACAGAAGTCATTCCTGTGTAGTCCCTTTGGTAAGGAAGCTGTTTTAGTTACAATCTCTTAATGGGTCCAGGTCCTATAATAAAGACCAATAGGTGATAAAGGAGGTAACATTTTTGTTCTCCGATTAAAAAGGGGATTTCTTTTCTGTACAGATTAGCTGTCCAAAAAGTTACTCTGTACGTCATTGGGATTAGCAAGTAGAAAAATATCCCCTGTGCTTGCTAAGGTATCCTCCCAGAAGTAGAAGTGTATCTGAGAAAATCCTAGCAACAATAAAGTCAGCATGAGGTAGGTAGACCTGCATCCACCCATTTCTGCGGAAGGTCTCTGGCTTACCTGAAGACAAGCGGAAAGACCTTTGTGTGTCCAAGATTCTTCATGACTGTGCCTCCCATGGTGATGAACTTTATCTGACAGTTACCACTAAATTCAAAGCCATTTGGAAACCAGTTAGCTGAAAGTTTGCAGCATAAGCAAACCCAAGACTTGTGGTTCCATGTCCCAGGAGAACTAATCGTATAAGCTGGCCATTCCTTTTCAATCTAATTTTAATCTGATCCCAACAAAACTATAGGATTCCTAAAGGTAACTCATGAATAACTTCTGACAATCTTAGTGACTTTCTCAGATCTGGTATCACAGATCTGATGTTGGAATTTTATTCTGTCTGATTTTTCTCTCTCATTCTTTCTCCTCTCCCCCCCTCCCAAATTTTTCCTCTTCCAGGATGACTCCAACATATCCCATAAAATGCAGGATGTTCTGAAGTCCTGCCTAAAAGAGGAGGAGTCATTTAACATTCAGAATTCCATGTCACCCAAACATGAGAGTAACAAAGGTGACCAAGATGACTCGGAAGTGAACTGTCTCCAGAATAATTTAACATGAAGGAAAGGAATAGGAAGAGGAGAAGGAGAAGAGGAGGGAAAGAAAACTGACCTATTGTACAGTCCATTTCTTGTAACCATTTGTTAAACTTTTCCTTTTCTGATTTCATGGCATGCTTTGATGTATTTTGTACAGAAGAGGGGGAAAAGCCCCACAAAATATGTGAAGAGCCTAAGCTGAATTGCGTGCATCGGGGTGTTTGATCTGTGCTGTCTGTATATTGCTTGGGTTAGTTCTGCTGCTGTGATTTCTAAACCTTTGCTGTTATTCAACTGACTTTTTTTGTACTTTGATCCACCTTTTTTTGAAATACAAGTAAAAGCAAAAAAAGAAAGTTCTTGAAATAAAACATTTTTTAAAAGTTGCCTGGCTTTGTGGGGACTGTTGTCTTTCTTCCCTGCCCATTTGTTCTTGGTTCAAAGTGAAGACATCATTAGTGATGATCTTTCAGTCAGCATTGTCCACTCCTCCCTGCTACCCCTGTCCCAGCCGTCCAATTCCACCCGTTTTAAAATGCTTTATTTTCTGCATTTTCACTCTGGGATGGGGAATGGGTTCCTAGAGCGTATCCTAGTAGCATTATCCCAGAATGCATCCTTCACTCTTTCACAGACTAGGGTGACATCAGGACCCACGCTTGTGGTTTACTGCACTTTAAAGCTTGTCCTCAGCCCCTCCCTTGTCCTCTATCCATTTAGACAAATTTGGGGGGCAATATTAACACTTAAATCTTTTCTCTCAAGCATGATTTGAGGGAATTCTTTTGGCTTTCTTTCTTTTAACGAGGGACTTATTAAAGTATTGTGTGGAACACATCAGTATGATAAACCTTCCCAGGAGCCCATAAGGGAAAAAACCTTAGCAGGAAGGGGACGACAACAAAAAAAGAGGAGGGAGGAGACGGGTACAATAGAGCTGCAAGTATTTGTGCCCGACCTGTGGTGGAACCTTCCAAGCTCCTGTTGGTCTGATCAGCCATAGCTGCAAACACTGAAACTGGACTCTAGCATGGTGATGTCATGTTAGTCCTCTCCGAGAGCAAAGGACAACAGCCAGTTGGAGACCCAAAACATAGCCTGTAGAGTTGAAAAGGAATCTGCCCGTGTGCCACCATAACTCTTTAGAGCATGACATTGCTCTTCTGTGTTTCCTCTCCTCCTCACTTTGCTTTGTGACAGAATGGCTTTGTCTTAAAGTGCTAGCCCTGCCGTAAACTATCACTTGACCCATGTTTGTCTTTGAATTCCTTCAACCTCATCACTCTTCCTTCCTGATAGGCACCCATTACTTTTTTTGGGGGGGCGGGGTAGGCAGTGGGGTTAAGTGACTTGCCCAGGGTCACACAGCTGGTGAGTGTTATGTGTCTGAGGCAGGATTTGAACTCAGGTCCTCCTGACTGCAGAGGATCCACTGCGCCACCTAGCTGCCCCTCAGGCACCTATTACTTTCATGCTACTTGGAGAAATCCCATTTCATAATACAAAGAATGGCTGGGGGAAAAAATGTCCCTTATGTCTTCTTCATATCAAGACTTTCATGTCCTACATCTGAAGTCTGGACATAATGCATGGTAGTGGTACATCTCAAGGTTAAAAACTTAAAATGTTTCCAATCCCAAGCATGATAACAGTCAAAAAGGGGGAGTGTTTTTGAGAAAGGGACCTTTCTAACACCTCTCAGATCATATATACCTCATTAAAGCTCGTCAGCTTCTAGCGAAGGATCTAGGTAAGTGCGCCCAGGGACCCTCAAATCTGGCATCGAGTTTGGAAGGGAGAAGGCATGATTTGTGCTTCCAACTCTCACGAGAAGACAGAAAACAAGCAACAAAGTCTCCAGCAAGACAAAGAGTGGGAGGGGTGTAGATAGCAGACACATGGGACTTCCTCTCCCTGGCCCTGACGCCTCTTGCCTCTCTTCTCTGGCCTCTTGCTAGTCCAGAAGCAACCTGGCCTTCCCCCACCTGCTGCCCCAGACCACCGCTTCATGCCTCACTCTTTCTGCCAGGCTATTGGCCTGGGGATGTCTCCATTTCTCTCTTTGTCTTAGTTCACCTCTCTTTTCCATACTCACAGTTGTAAGTTGCATAACTTTGTGTGAGGTAGTTTCAGCAAAGATCTAAGAGACCTTGAAATCCAATTCCTATTAACTGTTTTCTGAAATGTACTCCTCTGTATGTTTGTGGCAATTGTTGAGTATTGTGCTTTCCATGTATGTGTCATTTATTATAGGCTCACCTGTTTTCATTAGCTAGAAATTTCCCCCAAAAGTCTTGTGTACCCCCTCTGTACTTTCTCTCTCTCTGTCTCTCTGTCTCTTTCCTTTCTGGCCTCCTGGTGTTTCCCTTCACGGTGGGACTCACAATAACCCAGTGATCTATTAATCATTAATAAAATATCCCAATAACTTGTTAGGAAGGGAGTCCTCTCCTAAAGCTTTGTTTATAACACACCAGAGAAAAGTACAAGGGTAGTGTTGGCAACAAGAGAGAAACTGTAATCAATGAGGTCAGGCGTTCTTAACCTAGGATCTACAAAACCCCCAGGGGCTTGCGGATAGATGAAAGGGTGTCTGGGAACCAGTATGAGAAAAAATTGCATCTTTATTTTCACTAAACTTTGGTTTCCTTTGTAATTCTATGTATTTGGTATTCTGCATTTTAAAACATCATAGGCTTCACCAGACTGTCAGACAGGTCTGTGACCCCAAAAAGGTTAAGAACTCCTAAGCTAAACTAGGATAACAACCTTTTCCCAGACCTGTTACAAGATATGTGCTGCTTCTCCCCCTTATACAGAGGCTGACACAAGTGTGCCGAGATGTGATCTCTTCCCTCAGTCTGAATTATGAAATTGTAGAGAAGAATGAAATAGGATTATTATTATTAGAGGCACTGACTTGGGGTGTGGGTTCTAGAAAGGCAGTGAAAAGTAGATAAGGAGCAGTTAACTTAAGGGGTCTCAGACTTGGAGTCAGTCTCTTGGATGAAGGAAGATCTGTAGCTAAATTTAAAAAAAAAAATTTCGTTTGTATGCAGAGTCTTTCAGGAGAATTGCTGTAACCTAAGACAAGGTGAAAGTGGATGCTGGCCCTTCTTAGATAATGCTGCAAAGCAGTCATTAACTCTGGCCCCCCAGCCTCTGGAGGGGTAGGCTGCCTGCCAGAATCCTGTCTGGCCTGCCCAGTCACCCAGACGCAAGTGAAATACAGGGCAAGGGAGAGCCGCCACATGAAACAGACAAAGGAACCATGAGCAGATAGATCCCTCCAAGCCAACTCTGAGGACCAGCCTGCAGGACGGAGGAGAGGCTGCTTGTGGGGCCAGAGGAATGTGAGAGCAGCTCGATGTACAAGGACTCAGCCGCCGAAGTGCTTTGCTGTACTCCCCTCGAGCGCTGGGAGCCCTTGCTTCTGGCTCCATTAGCCTTGCCTTCCAGCTCCTGGAAGAAAAGGAATCAGCCTTTCTTCTCTCTTGGCTTTTTATTTATTTATTTATTTTGGGACCCTGAAGTCCAAGCCCAGTGGGCAGCCCGGATCTACTTTCATTAATCATGCTGCATGCCGCGGCCGTGCACCCTCCCGGGCTCGGCGGCTTTGAGGGACAGCCAGAGCTTCTGGTGGGAACTGTTTGCCGCTCTAATTGACCTTCACAGGGGAGGCGGGGAGGCAGCAGGCTCCATCATTTGCTTCTCTTTACACTGGCTGCTGCTTCAGTCTCATGCAAAAGGGTTGTCTTCCTTCCCAAGCATCGCCTCGTTCTGTGGCCAGCTAGGGCAGAAGTTCAGCCTCCACTTTACAGAGAGAGAAACTGAGGTCCTGAGGCCAGCTGGTGACTTGCCCAAAGCCATCATAAGGCCAAGCAGGATTGTAAGGAGTGAATATGGTATTGTACCGAAATGCTGAGGGAAATGACAGCTCCCCCTCCTCACCCTCTTGGCGTCTGGAGTGAGTTCCCACAGGAAAAAAAAGAATTAACCTTGGTTTCTGTAGCCATTTGGAATCTGCCAAGAAGCAGACCCATCACTCATGCCTTTGAAGTACATAAAAAGGTGTTCAAATGAGGGAGAGACACGTTTTCCTGCTTTCCTCTGGCCAAAACTATGAAATAATAGATTCAAACATTGTTCATTAATAATAGAAAGTGAGTTTAGCATGGTAGCTGCCAGGGAGAAAGGCAGTCAGGGCTACTGGGTGCTATTTCCTGTTCTGCTCAATCACAATCCAACTATAAGCAACTCACTTCTCTTCTCTATGCCTCAGTTTCCCTCTCTGAAAAAAATTGAGTAAGGCCTAAGCCATGGTGATCCTGCAGACACCATTGATTTAGCACTGATTGAGGTTTTGAGATCTTTAGCTCTGAGGGGGTTAGGAAGTACTATATTTGACTTCCATCTCCTAAAGTGCTATATAAATGTCAGCTATAATTATCATCTAACTGGATCCAAAGTCTAATCTGCCACTAACTAAAGTCACTTAATTCCCTCAGGACTCAATTTTCTCATTGTCTATCAAATGACAAGATTGGGCTGGGTGATCTCTAAGGTTCCTTCTAGGTCTGAAATTCTACCATTCTATGACATGTTATATTCTATATCTGTGCTGGCTATTAGTGCTAATAATGCTAAGAATGATGTCAGTTGCCTAATGTGATCCTTTTGGGTGCCAGGTAGCCTGGCTTCATTTTATGGCCACAGATGGTACCACTAATCCAGCTGTCTTGTATCTGAAACAAGTAGGATACTTCTTAAGGGGAAATTGAGGAATGGAGTATAGTTGCATCATTGCAAATCCATTCTCACAGCTGGAAAATCATTCTACTGACAAGCAATTGATAGTGGCACTCTTTTGGGGCCGTCTCCAATCATCCTGATCTATATTTTGCCACTGGACCCAGATAGCTCCAGAGATAAAGTGAGGCTGGTGACTTTGCACAGCCCTGCCTCACTTAAATCCAATTCACTTACAAGTCATGACATCATGTTATGGCACAGTCTTCTTTGAGAATG